CTCTAGGTCCGTTTTAGGCTCCTCCCCTATAAGTTAACGGCCGAGTATATAAGACGTAGATCGAAAAAGCCACCGCCTTACGGCGGGCTACTTTAGAGCGGCGCACAGCGAGCGACGACATCCCGGACCCGTAGATCCCCATAGATACAGATAAGACGATCCCCTTTACCGATTAGGTCTCCCTCGAGGAGGTTCGCGACGCCACTCTATGCTTAGGGAATATATCTCTAGGCTCGGACAATATTACGGTGCGGATGCTCCGCGCTATCTAGCATATAATCGGCAGTCGCGTCTATTAGCTCTTTTAAGGCTACCTTAGAGTTGGTTATTATCCGAAGCCTTTTCGAGAGGCAGAGGTGGTTATGATTGCTAAGCCGGGGCGTAGAGATCTGTCTATACCCCGCGCCTAGCGCCCTATTTCCCTCTTATCTTGTCTCGGCAAGGGCCTCGAGCGGCTTATTGCACGACGACTAGCGTGGGCCTTAATCTACTACGGTGTTTTGCACCTATAATAGATCGGCGCGCTTCCGAAGAGGTTAGCTATAGATCTCGTAGCTGCCTTAGTTTACGATATCGAGGAGACATTCGTCCGTAAGTAAGTCGCGACCCTAGTAACTTTAGATATATAGGGCGCTTTCGACATAGTCCTATAAAATAGATTAGTCCTTCGCTTACGAGAATAAGGATAGCCATCGAACCTCGCGCGCTAGGTCGGGTCGTTTATATAAGACCGATTAGCACGTATCCGCTTTTAAGATATCGTGACGGACTTATCGCCTCTATAGTGCGGTCTGCTATAGGGATCGCTAGTCTCGCCGATCCTCTTCCTATTATATATAGAACCGATCTACCGCCTAGGTAACTTAAAAGGCCGCTTCGGTTATGCGGACGACACTACCATTCTATACGTCGGCAATAGCTTAGACGAAACGTCCGCCGAAGCATCGCACTATATACATAAGCTTCTTTCGTAGGGCGCTACTCACGGCATCTCTTTCTACCCCGATAGGATAGAAGTAATATACTTCTCCTAAACGAAGCCCTAGATAACGCCGCTAGTGCTCTATAGAGAAGTCGAGAAACGGCCGGATCGAGCGATGCGTTAGCTCGGCGTCTAGCTCGATAGCACACTCTCTTTTAAGATATACGTCGAGAAATAGACGGCTAGGGCGCTAGCTATAGCCTTCTATCTTAGGAGACTAATAAATACTAAGCATAGGCCTCTACTAAGTGCTATGCGACGAGCCGTCTTCGCTTGCGTTATTCCGGTGTTGCTCTACGCGGCCGAAGTCTAATACCCTGGCCTAACGTGCCCGCGCTAGACTAAGCTAACTAAAGAAGGCCCGTCTAAAATCGGTCACCTCGTTAAGAAGATAAGCAAGGCACTCTACACGTCTCTCCGAGCTATCCTACTAGTATAGAGGACGACGCCGACAAACGCCCTACACCGGGAGGCAGGGATACCGCCCGTCTCTCTGCTGCTGGGCGCGCGTCGGACGGCCTTTGCGGCGCGCCTTAAATCACTTGATGAAGCCCATCCGCTCGCCAAGCGCACGGCGCAGCCAAAAGCCGGGAGCCAATAGAGGCGCGGACCCCCGCGCCTTTAAAGTCGGCGCGGACGTCCGCGCCTGTTATGTAAGCCTGGCAGGCCATTTGGGCCGCCGCCAACTGCGCTCGCAGTCGGCCTCACCGATACAGCATGCTTGCTGCATACATATAGCTTCAATTAATTGCAAAGGAGGATATCCCTTAGGGTTCGAACCCATAGCCTTCCCTATTTGGTAGATTGACGTGACGCAAAGGGCGCCGCTGTTGCGTGGCAAGGGAGGGTGCGCGGGAAGTTCACCGCCTTAAAATTGGCCAGCTACAGTGCTACACGCCGGTGCATGTCGGTGATCTCACGATCTGCCTCACATTTTCGCATCGCCGGCATCATCACCACTTATATATGTGAATAAAATGCCTGCTGTTCCTCTGAGTCTCTCTCGCAGTCAGCCCATATACCTGCAGTACCTCTTTCTCGTGAGAAAGGCTGCACCTGAATTTCCTCGGCCACCCGGGCATCTAATCGCTCTTCTTCTGCCTTATCCCAATCAAGGTATGCCATCATCTCTACCTTGGTCCATTGCCTCGAGCCGCAGCTCCTTGACATTTGCTTCCAGTCGAGGCACCAGTCATATTCAGTCTTGCTGTAGCGCAATGGCAAGCCCATTGCCTTTCGGTATGCCTGGTTGGTCTTGAGACTGCCGCGAGGCTGTGCTCTATACCAAGAGTCTCTTTCCTGACATACCTCTGATAGATGGCTCGTGGGTCATCATATAATAGATTCTCTGTAGTCTCTGTAGTCTCTGCAATTGCTGTAGAGACTGTAGAGACCGTAGTGACTGCAACTGTCATTTTCTCCATGACTGCTGCAGTCTGCGCAGTCTCTGGAACTGCTACCGTCTGTACAGTCTGTGCAGTCTGTGCAGTCCCTGCAATTGCTGCAGTCTCTGCAGTCTGTGCCGCCCGTGCCTCTGCCCGCTGCAGTATGTCGCTATAGCGTAAAGGACAATTGCGAGATGTCATGATGTGCCCTTGCTGGTGGCATTTGCTGCATGTAGGCGGCGCCTTTGGCCGTAGATCTGACTCTATGGCTTCAAATGCACTTGGCTCGCGCTGTGTGGATGACTGTGATATCCTTGATGCGGCGACAAGTTGGTCTAGTCGCCGACGAGGCTCTATGAGGACCTGACCAATCTCTTTGTTATCCCGTCGAAGGCGCCAATGTGTATGAAAATGTTGTAGCCGGAGGGCAGATCTTCCACTATGAGAGACTGTAATGCGTGCGCACAAGGGAGACCGCGAGACTTGGTGAAGCTGCCTGTGCAAGATGGGGTGTTTTTCTCGTTGAGGCGCTTGTGTTGCTTTGCAACCTGTCGCAAGGCTTCGTGTGATACCCAGCCACGTACCGTGCTATATACGGTTCCAGAGAGCTCAATTGGCATCCGTATATGCTGCCTGGCTTGGTTGGCTTGTAGCTCGGCCAGTTGGTTGAGGAGAGCTTGCTTGATTGCCCTCGTTGCCTCGAAGAGGTCTAATGTTGACTTCTTAAGGTGACTCTTCAATAATGCGTGGATGCCTTCCACCCGGAAGTAGCCACATTGCCGAAGTGAGCATATTGATCGACCCAGGCCTTGACGAGCTTTTCCTTATACGGGTCCAACCAGGTTTCCGTATGTAGCTAACCTCCTTGACGTATCGTGGCACAAAGCGCTTCTCGAGCTCTTCAACTTGTTGATCAAATGTCTCTCATCTTTCGAGCCCACGATTGAGTGCCAATACCCAAAGAACTCAGCCCACCTCTCATCACTATTAGAGTCCTCATCGTCACGGTCGAAAGCTGGTTTGCAATAGCTAAGCACCGCCTTATTCGCATGCCAGATGCAAAGCAGAGACTTGGACGCAGGAAAGCACCGGGAAATTGCGTTTATGCAGGCGAGGCAGCGATCTGTCAGGATAACCGATGGCTGGCGAATGTCATATAACTCGTATATCGATTGGAGTTGGTCCAGTGCCCAGATATAGTCATTTTCGTCTTCACCACTGAGGAAGGCAAAGGCAATACAGAATGACCGCTGACAGGCATCAACGCCGATCATATCGAGCAGTGGCATCTTATATTTGTTCGTCTTGTATGTGCAGTCTAGCAGTAGTAATTCTGGGTATGCGTTGAGGTATCCTAGAGACGCTGGGTGTGCGAATAAGACTGCTGTGACTCGGCCATCATGATCAAGCTGTATGCGGCTCTGGAACCCCTCGTTGTCAAGCTCATTGGCAAGGGCATGCATTGTGCTCTGGCCAGCAAGGAGCTCTCGTCTGCGCTGTGCGATACAGTTATATATGTCTTGCTGTGTCGCTCCTTGGGCAGTCTGAGAGCTCTGGCGCATATATGTCCGGATATCCTTTGGTGCTATGCCAGCGCTTGAGAGGTTCCCAATAGCTGACTGGTCAGTTGAGGAGAGGCACGATGAGCTGGATGTGCTGTAATATGCAGACTGGGCTCATGGTTGTGGACCGACTTCTCCTCGCCTGGGCGATGCCTGACATACCAGTACGACTTATCAAGGCTCTCTTTCGCATTGATGGAAAACTGGCATCCAGTGATACGGGAGCTTGTAGACCGTTGCCGATCAGCTGGCTTCTGGTCCTTGCTTGTATGAGCCCCAAGTCTACCTCCACGATCGCAGGCAAATATGACTGTGCGTCTTCCGGACCGCGGGTCTCTCGTGGACTTGCCTGTGGTGAAGGCATAGCCTCTTGGAGCCGCCCACGCATTAATTGAGGCAAGAAGAGACTCGCGAGTCGAACTGGCCCTCAGGAGGAAGGCAATCGTCAGGGAATTCAGTAAGCCCCATATTGGAATTATCTTGAAGAGCTAGCTGTAGTGCACGACAGTGAGCAGCTCTTTATACACAAAGGAAAGGAAACTCCTGCTTTGTGGACGTGGTGCAGAACCCTTGTAACCGAGGCCGCCTGCGAGGTTTAATGCAGCCTGCGTTTGAGCTTTGGCCTCAATGGGGTCCAAGCACCACGCATGCAGGCGCTCGACCTTAATATGCGGATTATAGCATCGCTTCCGCGGACAACTACTCTGAGCGCAGATGGTATGCTATATGAGGCTGGCTCTCTGTGCGACAGTTTGCCACATGCAATAGAAAAGGAGAGTACAGGTCAGGGGGCGGCCCGACTATCTTCCGCCTGGGCTTACATAACAGGCGCGGACGTCCGCGCCGACTTTAAAGGCGCGGGGGTCCGCGCCTCTATTGGCTCCCCCAAAAGCCCGCATCGTGAATAAGGCGATCAGGCTAAAGTACCAAGAATGGGCAACACCCTTCCGGACCAGGCTGCGGCGTAGCGACGCGTTGCTACTAAGCTGCCCAAGGCCTGACCTGTTGCAACGCAGCTTTGGTTGTAGAACGAGCACACTCCTGCGGGGTGCATCAAGGGATGACACCGCGATGAAGGTCAAGGGCTGGCTTCGGACACTATCGCCCCGGACTCTGGTCGTGTATTCTGACGGATCCCTCTCTGTCTAAGGTCACGCCGGATACGGCTTTGTCATTCACCGGAACGGAACCACTGTTTCGAGCGGCAAAGGCCGTCTTGGACCTGCGGAGGTCTTCGACGCTGAGGCGACAGGTGCGCTGGGGGGCTGAGGGCTGCGATAAGCCTCTCAGATAATGATCGCGTTTTCGTCTGCTTGGACAACCTTGCGACGGCAGAGCGCTTACTTGGCAAGCCAGCGACTCCTCTCAATTGGTTTTCCTTGAGTTCCAATCCTTGGCTCGAGAACACGGAGCTGTGGAGATCCGCTGGATCCCCGGACATGCTGATATCCCAGGTAACGAGGAGGCAGATGCTCTGGCAAAGGCAGGAGCTTCGCTGCCCGAACCCGCCGACAACACCCCGACACTAGCGCACCTGCGAAGAATTGCCCGACAGCAGCCGAAAGTGGCTTTCAAGGCCTGGTGGGAAACGTCTGCGCCGAAACGATACAAAGAGCTGGGCCTCAATGCCACAACCAGCTGTCCGCCGGAATTGACGCTTTCTCGGAACCTGCTCCATCACTTGCTTGCAGCAGGAACCCACCACGGGGATTTTGCTGACTACCATAAAAGGTTCGGTCACGAGGATGCGCAACTGACATGCTCGTGTGGGCGACGAAAAGCGCCTACGCACATTTTCTACTGCAGAAAGATCGCGCCGCACCACAGGCTGCGGCTTGGCCCCTCGCCAGCTGCAGCCGTCAGTCGAGCGTTAGGCGACGACTTCGACAAATTCGTCAGGCTGGTAAAAGCGAGCTCCTTCTTCGTGAGGACCTGCCCTCGCCACTAGGCTCCCATCTTCCTCCCACCCTGTCTTCTCTCTTCTCTCCCTTCTGTTACTCGCCCCGACCTCGAGCGGCCTCAAGGTTTCACGACCAAACACTCGACCAGGTCGTCAAAGGCTGCAAGGCCCAAGACTCAATCTGCTGACCCGATTATAAGACAGCTCTTCTTTCCTCCTGGACGTCCCGCTAACGGGCCCCAGGTGTGTCACAAGCGCCTTTGAGCCGATGCAATGCTGGATAGCGGGCGGACTGTACGACAAATAGCGTGTAGATAGCCCCCTAGCTCAGCACGTCCTGTGCTCCCTCGCGGAGACCTGAGCGGCACAATACCGCTGGACGAAAAATACACTACTACTACTACTACTACCCATGACCAGCCCGCAGTGCCGACGACATCCAAGACGACCGCTGCCACCGCTACTACCACTACAGCCCCCCAAGGCCATTCCCCACGACGAGTCGCCACATTCCTCCACTCTTGGCGCTAGAGTCGGGCCATGTAGAAGGCTGGCAACGCGGCCGCCAGCATCGCGCCAAACGTAGGGGCAATATAGCGGTCTAGCTCCTTTTTCCCGCATCCAGGGGTTTTCCCGCCAACTAAAACCGGCTTGCCCCCCTAGTCGCCCCCAAAGGGCCTAGCCGTATGGGAATTGCCTCGACTATTCGGGGATGATGATGTGCATCTCATTTGATTACGTCCGTCCCTCCAGCAAGTGACAGCCACGGTGATCTTGTCGTCGCTAGGGGACGGGGGCGAAACACGTCGTTGGCGACGTCGCCTCCTCTCATAAAACTCCAAGAATAGTTTCTCGGGGTTATTCCTCCATGCGCATTTGAAGTCAACCCAGTCGGCAAAAGCTTCTGAGATTTCATACCAAGGAAGAGCGCCAGGCTTGGACTCGAGACAAATGCGGTCGAGAAATTTCCTCGCTAGCTCGTACTCGTTCGCTGCTGGCTTGGTGCCGAACACGGCCCCTTCAAGATATGTTTCTCCGGGAACGTAATCGCTCAGCATTCGATGCAGTGTTCCCAAGGCAATGTCTAGGGGCAGCTCCAAACCATCTTTAAGTACTTGGAAGATATCTGTCTTTCTCTCTTGGTAGAGTTGGACCTCATTGGCCAGGTTCTTGGTGTGAATTGAGATGGAATCTTGCGCCTCCTTGTATCCTGGAATCCAGTCTCGCAGCACGTCGTTGAGAGTGTTTGTCGCACGACTCCCAAGCACGCGTAAGATGCGCATAGCCTGCTGCACCTCTGTTTCCGGGCCGTGATCTTCTGCCAATTCCTGCTTTCCCCGCTGCCAGTTGTCGAGAATCTCTGGCACGCCAGGCATGTAATTCTCGAAAATAGTCACGGTAACGTTGGCTTCGAATTCTTGCATCGCTGTAAATCCCTCTTTCAAGGCTTCTAGCGGCGACTCGAGTTCAAGGGTTCGCAGCCTGCCCTTAAGATCGTCGATGTGCTGTAGTATGTCGGCGTAGCCGGGTACCGTGTCATTTGCTATACTCTGGAGAAGAGTTCCACCACTCTGGAGGAGTCCTAGGAAGCCACGTTGGTTCTGCTCTTCCGGGACGTTATCGCGCAGGTGAGTGACGGTCGATTTGACAACACTGGTCACAAGCTGGGCTACTTGCAAGTAGCCGAGGGTCCGAATGAGTTTGCGATTCATGGGCTCGCCCGGCCCGGTTGGAACTGGCATTCTATCCACCATTCTGTTAGGCGGCTCTGGAGGGTATTCGCTGAGCCTTGGGATGCAGTGAAAGCCGTCTCTCGCGCAAAGGTCTTTCTGTGACGAAGCCTGTCCGGCACCTGGCAAGGCATTTAGGAACTCTGAATATTTTTGGCGGGGGGTAGCATGCTTTGGTGACGTCGACGTCTCATGAGAGACCAGTGGGATGTTGAAACACGCTGCTGGAGTGCATGCTGTTTTCCAAATAAAGCTGCTGAAGAGGTCCGACGTCGATTTGAACTTGTAAGGACTCCAAGTTGGTTCCTCCCAGGCATCTGACTCTTTAGGGAATCCCGCAAGTTGCGGTTGCCCGCCGCTGGTCCGCTTCCCTAGATATTTTTTAGGGTTCCAGTCCGGGTTAGGTGTCATGGCCGAGGTTGGTTTAATCCGAAGTTTACGGTCAAATATCTCGTCAATATTGTTAGCGTTGACCTCCCACCATCCCATCACTTGCTCCCATGCAATCCCACCCGCAAAGGCTATTTCTTCTTCGTCAGGGAAGGTGACATATGGGCCAAGAGAGTCATTCACATCGATCCCAGCCTCGGATGGATGAATCTTATAAAGGTACATGGGCTCGTCATCTAGAAGAAAAAACTTATGCTGCGTAGCAAACCCTAAAGCCACCTTTGCATCCATTGACGCGGATACGTAGTGAGTAAAATCGAACGTATCCTCAGTAGTGTGGGAGAATAAGCTGGAGCCCTTATTCATCATCTGGTCCGAGATTTCTATTCCTTGTCGCAGTTTTTGTAGACCTAGTGGTATGAATCCACCGGCTTCTTTCACTTGTTCTGGCGTCCTAGAATGCTCGCCTCGAAAAACGACAGGTATCTCGAGATCATTGTCATTTCCGCGTTTAGATAGTAGCCCAGCGCCGTCGGAAGAGGCTTGTGCTCCACTCGGTAGGGGCGACAGCAGAACTGCTGCCCAAAACAAAAGCTGAAGAGGTTTCTGCATGGTAGATTGTTGAAGGCAAATCAGCACAACTGTAGTGAACCAACAGCACTCCTCTTGCCCCTATGGGAATACGAGGCTTTATTTATAGCTAAACAACACGCAACTCGACTGTTAACAATGATACATTATGTGTATTCCCAAATTTCCATTTTATCGATAATTGTAATCTCGTTGGGCAGACACGGTAGAAACTTGAGCTTGGCGATAGATAGCGTCGAGCAGGGGCCATTAAGGTTAAGCAAGATTTAATTACATGATGAAAAACTTTTAATTAATATAAATATATGTCCTCTTTCATAAGTCTACCTTGATCTTTTAGATACTTGGTTACAAAATCCTTGTAATTCTCTATATAGAAATTCTATATAAAGATGGGTTATAGAATTCCCACTATAAAGACTTATTATAGATTTTTAGAAGTGATAATGTGTTTCTATTATACTCTGGAGACTACCGACTTTAGTTTATAGATTAGTTTAGAAGGCTTGTCCATTGCGCTATTTAGAGACCCTGATGGAGTCACCCAGGCTTGGTATGGGGCCTGGCTGACTTTTATAAAGCTAAAGAAGTGGAAACTGCGCGTAATTAGCTAATTATTCGACGGAAAACTGGGAAAACTACTCTATCCCTCATTACAACTCTAAATATGTTGTAATAGTTTAATCGCCCTAGGCCTTTCCTGTCCTCCTCCCTTTTCTTTTAAGAAGGCAATGACTATGCGCGCCGAACCACTTTGCTACGGACGCCGCCTTACGGACGCCGTGTGGCTGACCACCCAAATCAGGCATGGATCCATTCGTCAGCCACATTATGTCTAACACGGACGGATACAGGTTCTCGTGTTTGTTGCATGGAACCATCATGCTCTGCGAGGAACAACTACTGACGTAGCTCTAGCCGGTCAATAGGTTCTCAACTACTCAAGCAGCTACAGAGCTAGGATTGACTGACAGCTGAAGGAGTCACATTGAAGCGACGAACAGTGATCGGAATGGTCCGGTATGAGTTGGTATTGGTATGGTAAATACCGCCAAGACCTGGTATGGTTTGACAAAATCTCGATACCATGGTATTACCGGTATACCGGATCATACCGGTAATGCTAAAAATAGATTTAGGTAACAGGCTCACTGCGGTGACCCGCCGGTGAGAGACGAAGCAAAATCTGAGCACCGTGAGTTCGATGTCGGCTGTAGCGCCTATTGACCAGTCTTCCCGCCATTCAATTTACTCCATTCTGTCATGAGAACCATGAACACCATTGTCCTCACATAGTCGAGACTGTCGACCTGGCTTCCTCTGTCAGATCGATCCGACACTGAACGGATGCTTTTTGACTCTGCTGCCGGGTAGCTATCCGGGTGAAGGCTAGTGTTAGTGCGTGCTAGAAAGTACTTACCATCGTACATAAATCTGCGGGCTCTTACCTGTAGAGTGAAGCATGGCCTAACGTATCACTGGCCAGATTTGTCAATCGCGTCGTCGGAGGGACAAGAAAAGCTTAAATGATCCTACCAATTGTATTACGTCTGTGATGTTGGAGCCTGAAAAATTTTGCGTCAGGGTATTTGTGCGATAGACCAAGATCGAGTGGTCGAAAGCCACCATACTTTGGTTGGTGTTTGTCATGATCATGGAATCTCCAGCGCCAACCTCGCCATCGTCGTTCACAACATGTTCAGCGTCAATACGCTCCATATCTCCAACGTCGTATCCTGCAACTTCTTTTCCCGCTTCGACGCCCCCATCTCCCTCTATCCGTTATCCTGAGCCTCCGGTCGAGTTCGTACAAGACCATGTCACGTACTTGCGTCGCACGAAGACGACAAAGAAATCTTGCCAATGGTCACTCTGTTTCGGCACTCAAGGCTTCGATCGCTCCGGGTAGGATATTGCCCTCCGTGCCGAGGATTACTGTCCGGTTGGCGTTGTCGACCCGGACCGGATACAGCTGCTCTCTCATGACTCGCGCTCCCTCCACGGCTGTCGTCTGTGCCACCTCTTTGGCCAGCTGAAGCTCGGCTCGTCTCTGTAGACAATCTTGACTCGGTCGGCGTTCCGGGATTCTCTCCCAACTGCTGCGCACCTCCAGGTCTCATGTCCGTTTTTTGCTCTCATCTGTGCGGCGGCGATAGCTGTCTGTTGCCACTCCACTGCCCAATGACGGTCAAGATACCTCCGCCGTTTTCCCGGATGAAGCAGCAGTGCCGTGGCATATACGGGACTTTTGTCGGTTTCTTTGTAATATTTCGAGAGAATCCACCAGCCCATGTGAATGGAGTTCACCATATGGGCGTTATCGGCGTATTTGACCTACGTCCGAATTTTAGCTGGTTCTTCAATAGTTCAACTCGACGGCGATGCCGCCCACGATTAATGACCAACCTTTGTATTTTTAAATTGCATAAAAAGAATATCTATATTCTCTAGCACCTAATCTATTAACGCCCACTGCATTTGCTGCTCTAGAGTGGCCTAGTAAAACGGCTATAAAAACTCATAGGTTATCTTTAGTACTTACCAATTATCGTAAGTTAGGATGTCGTCCTCTAGCTCTCTATGGTACTAATTAACGAACACCGACAACGGATCCTCTTAGCTAATAGCTACATTAAGCAATTTAAACCACGAGTTCTAGCGTATAATATTATCGATACTAAGCGCCCTTCCGGCAATATCATCCTACGCATCGTTGTAAATTATAAGTTGCGGATAAATTCAGCGATATTATAGAGTTTTCCCATTAGGCCGATGCTCCGCCAGCCGGCAGTGTCATTTCGTCTCCTGCGCCTGCCATAACGTCCTAACGCAGGCTCTAGTTAAATATGGTCGTGCAAGGCGTCCGCGACAGTGACCTAATTCGATTCATCTTACGCCTATTCAATGGCGGCCCTAAGGGCGCTCTCGCTAGTCGCAATAAGAAAGGCTTAGAGGGAGAGGCTAATAATGTGGCAGGCGCAACGCGTTCGAGAAGATATTAGATCGAATACTAAACCGTACTCTCGCAATAAATTAACGGCAAGTTAGCGGAGGTAAGTATCGTTTTTTATATCGTTATCCCCGGTAAAGTAGCCGATTTTTTATGCTAAGCTATATCTTCGGATAATTCTTATCAGGTGCGGCGTCATAGCTGCGCCTGCGTGAGATCGGCGAAGATTTAGCAGCCCGAGTAATGCCTTACGGGGCTTATATGCCTCGTCGACCTATTGCGCGTGAACAGCGATGTATGCCCTGCGCTAGGGAGAAGACCATATATCTATAGCGATGTGCACAAGACTCCGAGCGCCTTCTAGCCACCTGCACACGGATCGTTGATGCGCATTGTAGGCCCTATCTAGATCCGAAGCAACCGTATTGCCAGAGTTAATTAAGAACTCCTCGACTATAGGGTTAATAGCGGTCAAAGTGCCTAATATTCTGGCCATATCGCGCAGCTTAGAGGCAGATGCCTATTCGCGGAAAGTAGCATCTATGCCTCTCGGAAGGCATCGATATTAATTACACTCCGTAGAGTGTTGATCTCGTTCTCTCGAGTCGGCCCTAGCTGTTTTTCGCTTATTCTCGCAAAGGCATTCTCGATGGCTAGTTAACGCTTGCAGCGAGCATTCGTGTCTTCTCTAATATATACGTGATAGACCTTCTTAAGATAATAGCGGGCATTGCTAGAAATATAGGTTAACTACGATAGATTGCGACAACGTTAATAGTAGTGGAGCAAATTGCCACCTACCGTACGTGGCTTATCGCCTCGAGCTTGCCGAAAGTGATGCTAAGTCGATGTCGCTCTTAACTTCCTCCTCTTAACTACTGCTAGAGATAAATATTCTTTAGGTTCTAACGGTATACTAGCAGATTGTGAGACACTCTCGGAGGGCAAAACTAATATAGGGCTTAACGTAGCGTTAGATTCTAGCAATCGCGATATGCAGAAATCTATCGTTAAAGCCGAGACATAGAAAAACTCGAACGAGAAACTTAAACTAGAAGAATGATAGAGAGTAGTGGAGAATCTTTATAATTAA